TAGTTGAATTCATAAAACGATTGAAGCTAGATCACCATGGGAAGCCTGGAAACACTAGACGGTCGTTTCATCCTAGTATGGAACTTCTCAGTAGTGCGAATCTACGACCCCGAAAGCGGGACTCAAACGCAGGACTTATTACTGTGTGTCAGTCAACTTGTGCAACCGATTTTCTTGATAAATTTCTTTAACATTTTTTAATGATATGTTATAAATTAAAATGAATTTATTTTAATATTAAAATGTACGCTGCTTCTAAATAACTTTAGTGAAAGAAATGGTGAAGTAAATAACAATTGCAATGAGGCTTTTCTAAAACATACTAACGTAAGGGGGTTAGGATTCATGATACAAAATAATATATTTGATATCTACTGGGTTAAACAAAAGGGATAGGCAATCGAATTACCAACCTAGTTTCAGCTGTTCTACCATGATTCTTGAGTATTAACTGGAAGATTCACTTAGATCATACAAGATTGTTGATGAGTACAATTACTGAGTAGAAATATGTTTATTAATTTTGCAAATGGTTGAGAGAGTTTATTATGTGGAAATAATATGTATTTTTTATATAATATTTTTTAATTAGAAGTAAATTTCTTGTTTACCATGAACGTCTTGTGATATAGACAAATATACATAAAAATGATCATGTAGTCAAGGAAAACACTATCTTTATCAAGCTGATATATAGAGCTCAAGAAAGAATAGACAGAATGACAAAATAATATTAATAGCATTGTCACATCAAGACTGGTACAAGTGAAGATTTATTCATTTCAAAACATGAAGACGATCCTAGTCGAAACTATGCTAATTTATGTGTTATTTTTTGTGTACACATATGAGTGTTAATTAAATAAAATGTTACATAAACAAAATTATAGTAAATTCGCATCTTGTATATCATGTTGAACATAGTTCTTCATAATTTAATATCAGAATATCATAATTGAATAAAACATGATCTTAAAATTAATCAATATTATACTGAATAAGATACCACATTAGAAATCAAAAAACAACTTCTACATGGAATAATTATTATATTGAATTAAATAAACGGAAGTAATATTAATCAAGAATAACAATGAATAAAAGAATGTAATTTTATTTGCCTTTTTATCCTGTTATATCATTAAACAATATTACTAGATCATTTATCGACATGTAGCTATTTCAATTGGATTTATAGTTTTCTAAATAAATAAAACAACCCAGTGATAAGAAGCTTATTTAAACTGAATAAGATATTTTAATAGACCAATATCTATAATTAGATTATATGATTGATTGTTATTGAAACATACAAACATCCTCGTTTATAATAATTGACTTAATTCACGTTAGTGATTGACGGAATTAAATAAGTCAAATACAAGAATGGATTGTTGAATACGTATATTTTGTACACTCGTTGATCGGAACAGACAATAAGAGAATCGCAGTAAATGAAGAGAAGAAGAAGAAGAGAGAGAGAAGCGAAACAAAAGGACGCGCAGTGGAGATGGTGGTGGTGAGCCAACTCCATTTATTCAAGCGTTAATCAATATTTATAGTCACACAAAAATAAGCTACAAACGTGTGACAAGTAGGTTAAAATGTACACGCATATATGTTCATATAAAAACAGTCAAGGTTGATAAGTCAATAATTAACAAGGTCAAGACGTAACTCAAGAAGAATGAATAAATTGGCCTGTGTAGAAGCCAGAATAAATTATATGAACTTAACTTGGTAACCAACATTACAACATCAATATACATAAATTTTTTGCACTAATAAAACTCGACTATTGAAAATATAACATATGTGGAAATGAAATTATATTGGCAATCACTGTAATGCTTAAAGATAAGACTGTTCATAATAGTTGATAAATATATAATTTGCAAAATAGGAAATAAATAACAAGAAAGGATAGTCTATCCAAAATACATTCATCACAATACGAGTATATACATTTAAATAGAATTTACGAAAAGATATATAAACTTATTGTGTTCACAATAGAAATTGGTTAAATAATATTTTGTCCTTAACGAAGACGGAAGTTATTGATGAACTTATTCCTAATAAGTATCGATAGGTTATATAATTAAAAATATGAATATCTGGATAGCAGGACTTTAAATGAAGATTGACTATTCTTTGTTAAAACAATCGAAATAATCAAAACATTTTACACTGATTCATACCAGCACTGATAATTCATCTTTTGTGAACTTTTGGTAAAATCATAATGGGTTACTTATGTGTAATGTATTTCTTAAGAAGGTCTTATTCTTTATATAACTAATGGATGCGCACTGCTAAGGAGTCTCACGATAGGATGAAACGGCTGTCTAGTGCTTCCAGGTTTTCCATGGTGGTCTATATTTAATTGACTCATGAATGCAACTACTAAATTAATATAGTATTCACGAAAACAGTTGTCTACTAGTTAAGCGCTCACGAATCTCGAGAGGCGGGATCGTAGATGCGCACTGCTGAGGAGTCCCATACTAGGACAAAACAACCGTTCAGTGCTTGCAGGTTTTCCATGGTAGTCTAGCTTCAATTAACTCATGAATTCGACGATCAAAATATAACGAACCATTTGATTGCATATTTCAGATTATTGATTTTGTCACTTTGCATATTATAATTATGGATTACTTGTTATGCTTCAATCATAATTATTTCTGCTTAGATTATTCAATTTATAATTTAAAAATTCTTCATGGTGAATCATTCGTTAAAAAAATGTAATTAACCAACATTACTAGTCTACATTTCATATAATCAATTGGAATGAAATATCGTTATATCTATGAATTTTTGGATGTTTGAATTTTAAATTTTCACCTTGTATTGATATAATTAAATTAAGGGATCAAACACAGTGCTTTGAATGAGAATAAACAGATCTATATATTGTTCCTCAAGCATGTCAAGTTTATGCCGCTTATTTTGGCTTTAACTAATCTGTAATATAAAGCGACCATTATTTAATGACAAGAATGATGTTTCTTCTCTACTATGGCTTGATGAATACTACAAATCATTTGTGAAATCGTTTTGAATATAACCACCAGTTTAATTCGAATGAATACATGAAGATCTTGAAACATTTAAGACTAGTTTTTTTCACAAAATAATGTCGGCTAATTATTTCAAACATATATATTTTATTCATTTTGTATTATCTGTTTCAATCTTCCCACTGATATTTAGGACTGCGATTGGCCAGTCTCTAATCCGTAAATGCGCAACCTCTACAGCTTGCCTTGATGTTGTCCTAAGTCACAAGCATTATATGCAGAGATGTATGGTGGCTTGTAGTGGAGTTATGGACACGCGATTTGTCCTATTCGTGACTCGCCACCAGGATGCACCTGCATCCTAGAGTTGATGCTCACTCCAGGATGCAGGTACATCCAGCTGACGAGTCCTAGATATGACAAAACGCGTGTCCTGGACTCCACTGCTAGCCACCTTCCATCTTTGTCTATATATTTTATTCTATAAATTAAACCATAGAATTAGTAACTGCCTTTAAGTACATTTTTACTAATATAGATAATTTATGTTAATATTTCTATATTTCGCCTTTTACATCTGAACTATATAAGTTTCACCTCAAAGTTAAAAGTATTATTTATGTGGTTTAGTTTATCAAATGTAACTTAGAAATAAAAATGGTTTTTTATTTTTCGTCCTATAAACATAAAAGTCCTCTCAATTATATACACATATATTTAAATCTTTTACAATGAATAGAATATTTCCAAAAAAGTATAACCGACTATTTAATTATTCTAGCAAACATTAATTCATCAAATAAAAAAGAATTGTATTTAGTAAACAGTTACAAAAGAAAGACCCAGTTGAACTGAACTATTTATAGATAAAAGTGTAATGTATTGCCTTTTGTTATTATCTTTCTACAGTTTTAAAAAGTTGACCTTTCGCCATAAGGATGTTAAACATCATTTTGTTTTTCTTAACAGATCATCAATCATGATTACTAATTATTTTAAAAGTTTACGTTCCGAGGGGATTTTCTGACAAAAACTTTAACTCATCAATAATCGGAGAAAGTAGGATTTTACACGTTTTTAATGACATTAACATTGAAAAGAGATGAATCAAAGTTAGCAGTGGAATCCATAGCGCGTATTTCGTCCTATCTAGGACTCGTCGGCTGGGCGTGCCTGCATACCAGAATTGATGTTCATTCCGGGACTCGAACGCCGTACTGTTCCCTTCAAACGCAATCGCGTTATCTACTTAGCTACTGAGTCCAGATAATCATTAGCTTGTGCAGTGAGATGTTTTAATCCATCTTTGTACTGGTTTTTTGAATCTACCACTGATGTTAATGACTGTAATTAATCAGTGTTATTTGAGTTTGAGTCACAGAGTGAAAATCAACCCAGGGTTGCAGGTTCATCCAGCTGACGAGTCCCAAATAGGACGAAACGCGTATCGTGGATTCCACCGCTAATCACCATTCAGTTTTTCTTATAATGTCTGTGACTTCAGACAATATCGAGGCAATCTCTACAGGATGCAAATATGTCAAAAGAGATTAATCATTTGCAATCCTAAACATCAATAAGCAGTATATATAAATTTAACTGAAAGTTTACCAGTTTCCTTATACTAAAACATGACAATAGAACATCTTAATTAAATCAAAAAGTTTGCACAATTTAAATCAATTTTCACATAATTATGTAATATTATCAACTAATTACTATTGGTTCATATTATAAAATATTGACCAATGAGGAAATTATCATTTTGTCAAAATTCTATTGGTTCATTTCAGGATGCTATCAATATTAAAAAAAACAAACCAATGCACTTGAATATTTTTCAACGAGATGAATACACTTACATAATTATAAAATTTTAAAAATATTTTAATATTTTATATCACCATAACAAAATTTCATTTAAATCTATTTAGTTCTTTTTTTATCTTAAACAAAAAAACATACAAAAATAAAATGAATTTTGTATCTTACAATGATAATTGTAGTATATACATTGCATATAATCAAAGTGAACTAGTTTATACACCACCAATTTATATTTTTTTAGTTGTTCTTAGTCCTATAGCATTAATAATTAGTTGTTTATCATTAACTGTATTAACACGACCACAAGCAATACGTTTAGGTTCAATGCGTATTAATTTAATTACATTAACAATATTTGAAGTATTATTAAATTCTATGATATTTCTAATATCATTATTTTATACAACTAATTTTCCAAATGATGAACAAAATTTATATAAAACTATTGTACATATTACATGTTTTATATTAATTGGTGGTGCATTATGTTCAAGAAATTGGACTATTACATTAATTTCATTAGCACGTTGTGTTGCAATTACAAAACCAATGATTTCACGTAAAACATATTCACATTTATTCCAACCAAAATGGATGGCTATATTTACTATTAGTTGTATTTTAACAGGATTTATATTAAGTGCATTAAGATTATTTGAAATGCATATTGATATTTGTTTAAATCAAAATAATAGAATTATGTTAATACCAAGTTCAGAATGGCGTATTGTAAAAGATTTATTTTTTACATTTCAATCAGCTATACCAATATTGATTGTAGTATTAACAACTGTAATAATGTTGATTGCATTATTTCGTCATAAATTACCAAATTTAAATCACCATAACGTATCAGATAGAATGACCAGACGTTTGGAAACAAATAATAGCAATAATAATAAAACTGAGCATAATAGTATTATTAATACTAATAATACTGCAAATAGCAATAATATTGTAAGTATTAATCGTAGTTATTCATGTACAACAAAACATGATTATACACATACAAGACAACAACAAATTTTATTAGAATATAAATTAAACGAACGCCGATTACATAATCAGGCTAGAGCTACACGTATGATCACATTATTAACAGTCATCTTTATATTATTTGAAGCACCAGTATTTTTTTGTGTAACATTTGAATATAAATTTGATCGTGTACAATTTGATTTAGTGACAAATGCATTAAAAAGTTTAGTTGTTTTAGATTCATGTGCTAATGTGATTATTTATTTAATAATGAGTAGACGTTTTCGTCAAGAATCTGTAAGACTATGGAGATATGCAAGAAGACAAACAAGACAAGTGTTAACTAATCAATCAGAGGTGATATTTTGAAAAAAACAAAACATGATTTTGTATTTTGCTTCTTGACTATCAATTGAATTAGGAATTCAATAAAAATAATTGTAAATATATACATATACTGTAAAATAGAAATCAGTCAAAAATACAAATGATGATGTTGATGTAAAATATACTTACATTCATATACGTTTTTGTTTATCGTTACTCATCAATAATCAATGGAATAATACAAATGGAATTGTACATTTTATTTTATCATTAAATGTAACATTCAATGATTAGAGAACATATTAAAAATGAATTAAAGATAAGCAAGTGAGCAACTTACAGTGAATAGATAACCACTTAAACAAAGGCTTAGAATATATAACAAATATAATTATTTTTGTAAGAAATATGATATATATATATACATATATATATATATATATACATATATATACATATATATATATATATATATTGTATAAGTAATCAGTGAATAAACAATAGAAAATGATTAAAATAGATACAACCTATTTTCTATGTACAAATAGTTGCTATGTATTTTTGAACTATAAAATATTCTTTACATATATTTGAAAATAAAATAAATGTTAAGAAATTAATGAATCTTAATACACTTGAGTGAATGATTTCTTTATTTGTAGTGTTTCTATGGTAGCTTATGAATGATTGAATATTAAGTGTAAGGTATAAATTCAGTGAATTTTGTAATAAGTAATGAACATGTAATGTCCGTCTATTTTTCTATCATAAAAGCTTTTTATGTCTAATATTATAATAAAATGTACACATGTATGATGTTGTTAATGTCAATTTGATTTGTGTAAATAACCGAAATCATATTTTGAACTTTTCTGTAGATCATATTAATATTTAGGTATTACATATTGTATATTATCAACAATTGACTTCTATGTCCAATTTACTATTACTATAGAAAAAGTTTGTAAGATCAACTTATATAATTTAGTAATGATTTACAACAAGACAACTAGAATACAATTTGATAAATCGCAACCTAGTTACTGGTTAGAAAAAACATTTTTTTTAAAATGAAAATTTGAATTATAACAGTTTATTTGATAAAAGACAAAATAAAACAAAACTACTTCTTAGATTGTTAGTCACGATTTTAACCGTGATAAATCAATTCAATTTGTTTATTTGGTTATTGTTTACACAATGTCTTTATTAAGTTCCGTTAGATATTTTAAGTAGATTGTATTGTCAATTTCATTATTTTGTAAATACAATGAAAGCCTGATTTAAACAGACTTTAAAATGAAAAAATGTTGGTTGACTTCATAAAATGAATTTTTGTAATAATTTTTGTGTATCTTAACATTTACAAGCTTCTCCATTGAACCAGTACACAAAAATTTCTATGAAAGTTTTACGTTACTATATGTAGCCATTTTTTAAAAATATCGTCGTTATTTATTTTAAACTAGTCTCAAATTAATCATAAATTGATTTGTGATTGGTTATCTTTGATGATGTTGCCATCACAAAAGAACTTCGGATTACCTTTGACTTATATTCTAAACTTCTAGCATTCTTGGAGTTGCCTCTATGTAGAATTGGTCTAGTAAATAATATCAGCTTGTTAGAATTCGAAATGCCTGGTAGTTAAGTTTAATAGAAGTTATCAGAAACATTGAAGCAGATAAGTGAACCTTTAAAAGATTATCAGAACAAATCAATTCAAAGTCAGTATAAAAATGTGTTTATTTTATGTAGAATCAATTATGAAAACAACTCAATTGAACTTTGAATTTTAAAAGAAGTAACATACCCTAAAGCATTCATTTTGATATACAAATGTTGTAACGAAAAATCAATTAAGTAAACTTGAACAAGACTGGTGACATTGTTAAACAAACCAAACGAATATTTCTATGATCCACTGCAAAAAATTTGTTTTGTAAAATTATTCGATATAATTTAAGGATCAATTGGCTTTTCTTTTATGTAAATCTAGTGAAACAGGGAAAATATGAAAATAATAATAATAATTTACAAGCTTTACATTGATTACATCAAACTTACATCAAGACATTGTGATTCAATAAATCACATCTGAGGTTTTCATTGATTCAGTAAAATGCCAAACTTTATCTACTATCATTTATTCTTATTAAAAACATAATAAAAGGTGTTCATTTACAAAACAAAACTAACTATTAACAAGGTTCTACTTTATTTAAAGTGTTTTTTGTCATTTCGTTTCCTTTTGTGTGCCTTACCTTATTTTCTTTTCCGTTTATATAATTACACAGGAAAAAGAAAGATATTTCTTTATGGTATAAAAAGACAATTAGATAGTTATTTAAAAAATTCGACATTTTGATTTATGGATAGGTATGACGTTAAGAGTGGGTGGTTGCTAATATATATTCTTTATGAATAATACTTAATATATTATAGTTTATGTATTCCATTTAAATAGTCTTTACAAATAAAAAAATATTATTTTATGAATTTTCTTTCACATAAAATTGTTAACACGATTTTATTACAAAAATGACAATAATCATGATAGCCAAATGTCAAATCCTTCACTTAAGCGTTTGTTTTGTTATCTGTTAGTATTTGAAAATGTGACTACATATTGTTTATGTTGATCATATTCACTAAAAAATTGAATGAAAAATAATTAGTTAGTTAAATTTAGCAAAGATGGATAGTGGTAAGCAGTGGAATTTAAGACACGTGTTTCGTTTGGTTCTGGATTCGTCAGCTGGATTTGTCTGCATCTCAGAGTTGATGTTCACTCAGGGATTCGAACCCAGTACCGTTCGATCCAAACGCCATTTGCTTGTGCAACGGGGTGAAGTTTAAATTTATTTGGTATTGTTTACTTGAATCTTCTCATTGATGTTTAAGACTGTAATTGATCAGTACCTTATCGGCATGTGTGCATCTTGCCTTAAGTCACGAGCCATTTTCCATTTGTACCTATAATGCTTGTGACAAGGCAATATTGAGGCAATACGCACAGTATGCACATATGTCAATAAGAGACTAATCAATTGCAATCCTAAACATCAATGGGAAGATTCAAGTAAACAATACTAAATGAAGTTAAATTTAGGCTTAGAGATATTACTTTGTCTCCTATGATCCTTTTTCCTAAAAATAAAATTATAACATTTTAAACACTTGTAATTAATCATTATATTACATACAATATGGCATTAGTTTATACTATTGGATGATTTGAAATAAATCTGACTTTTTCATGATTAAAATATTGTCTTTGTCATAAAATCTGAAAATGTTTAGTTTAAATTAGTATTGGATTATATGTACCTACTATTTAGACATTCATTAACATTATATATTCATGGATTGGTTGGAGTTAGACATTAACACCGTTGGATACCGGTCAGCTCAGTAGTCTAATGGTTAAGCGCTGGCGCGCGAGAGTAATAGGTCCTGGGTTTGAATATTGTGGGGGACGGGATCTTGGATGCGCACTGCTGAGAAGTCGCATACTAGGACAAAACGGCCAGCCAGTGCTTCCAGGTTTTCTATGGTGATCTAGCTTCAATTGACTCATGATTTCAACTATTGAAATTACTAAAATCTCCACAAAATCCATCCTGATAATATATTAAATATCAAGATTTTATCATTCCTCTTGTCAATCAAATTCAGTGTACATTTGGCTCAGCTATTACAATTGTTAATTCCTTAATAAATTTAGATCTTTAGTTTTCTAAATGATATAAGTTCATTTCTTTTAAAAAAGAAGTAGAAACATTTTAGAAATTAGAAATTATTGTATTGGACCAGTTAATATTTACATTAAATATACCTACTGTAGGAACTATCATCTTACCGACTATTAAGCTAATCTAGTCAATAGAATTTGGAAAAATAAGCATAAGATTAGTCACTAGCTAAGTAATATGCATCATAAAAATCATGTATTTACTTTATTTTAATTCACTGTTTACACAATCCTATTCACTTGTCGATTCTCTATGAGACTGTTATATTTACGTCATTTATTTATATCACAAGTTATGGGTGTTTTATTTAAGTAGCATATTTTCTAAAGAATGATTCACAAATAAAACTTAATCTTTGGTTAATAAATTTAATCCGAACTGAGATTTCTCTGAACATTCATAATCAATGAGTGACTAAGTAGTTACGATTATTGTAACAGATTTTTATCCATATATAGAACAAAACTTAGGTTGAGTATATCAGTCATAGGTTTTTAAGAAGGTTAATCACGAAATGAGGTTTTATGTCAAAGTGAGTGTTGATGACAGGCTTATTTTGATGATACCTAAAATTCGGTCTCAACAATAGACACACGAAATTTCTTATGCAATATAAAATCTATGATTACTCAAATACTTGTCTACTCGGTAATTGAGTTTATAGCTTTATTTTGTATTAGTTAAAGCTTGATCTAATATTTTCCATGTTTCCAATTTTCTCTTAAAATGTTGAAATTTAGTTTGTTTATCTGTCGTACTGAAACTCTTATCGCTGGTCAGTGTTTTCAATAATTTCTCTGTTTGAAATTTACTACTATTTATAAAGAACTACGTGATCAGTTGATCAAGAGATCTTTGAAAATAAATATGATGGGAAATATGCTAAGTAGTAGTTTCTTTTCTTAATTGTCCAGATAAATACCAAAGACGTTTGAAGATTTATTTTGAAAATGTCTTTTAGTTACTAACATTTTCTATTGTATTTTGTTTAGATTACAGTAGATGTTTTCATGAGGCATATTAATTTGGCAGAGATGATCATGTTAACATAATATTGGGATAAAATGGAATGTCCACTTGAATAATCAAATATTCGACATTAACCTCATCAAATCAATAGAACATCGACTGATTACGAGGAACAGTTTCCTGTTTTATCAGACAGATTCTATCTGATCCTATCAGTACATTTACTGTAAATGACTTTAAACAACATGATAGACCTAATTAGGAGAATTGCAATATAAGCTGTCTAATATTGCTCACAATTTTATGTCTACAGCCATA